GAAGGCTGGTTATAGTCTGTTTACAATGTTGTTAGCTAGTGTTAGTTTACTATTGGCTGCTCTTTGTCAGTTTTACTCAAAAAGAGGAGTCGCAGCCTCTAACACAAATCAGCCATTTTGTCTGCTCTTTTTTCTTTTTTGAGAAACATGTTATCTGTTCTTTGTTCTTACTACTATTAGTACTACATATACTTTGCATGGCTGAAGCATCGGTACTGCTAACCATCAGTTCATGATTGTTATGCTGTCTTGAACATCGTGTCAACGTTCTAAAGAATGGAGTATCTATGCTATAGAATTATTATCTTCTACTCTCATGCCCCGTTATCAATTTCATTTCACATACTTTAGAAGCACGAATTGCATGACCGAAGTTCAGAAGAACTTCGTGAAAATCATGGCATTTTAATGTTGGACTGCTACTAGGGTACCCAATGGATTTCATGTCAAGTTAGATGGACCTGGTCAAAACAGTTGTATAGAGGGAATTGACGTGTTTAATAGTGTCACGTGGTGATTACGGAAGGTTTGGCCCTAGGATCAAAGGATGGGTAGGGCGAGCAGCGGTCGCGCCGGGCACCCCCGACGCCGGTGGTGAGACAGGAGCTCTTGCCGGGGCGCTCTTCGGTGGGTCCCCATTGTCATGATCACCGTAGGCAACTTCTGCCGCATGAAGGAAACTGAAGCAACTAGTTAAAGAAATGCCCCAGAACCTGGTTGGCATGATGATCGCCGTACAAACTCTCCACGACTGAAACAGATGCAGCCTTTGTTTGAATGGTTGTCAATATTTTGGCATTGATAATCACTTGTTGTCAACATTGTACTTGGGCTTGAATCAACCATGCCAGATATCCTGTGGCAATTAGACCTCCTCTCAAAATGTTTATTAGTCTGTTCTTTCAAAAATATGAACTGGCATGGCTGCCATGTAAAGCTCGCATAATAAAAAAGATTCATTCATAGCCAACAATATAAATCAGACATATAGATGGTACATGAAGAAGTTACACATCAATTTCAGACTGGTTGCTTCTTCTGCACTGTACTGATAGACTGACGGAAAACAATTCAGGGCCTGCGGATCTTCAACTTGATCTGCTGCGGTTCACGGGAAGGTTCCGGCATATGATCAGTGACAAATGATCACGAGGGTGGCGATGGTTGCACGCACAGAAGCCCCAGTCTGGATACAGAACCTGGGCACAGTTAAGCTAAACCTTCCCACATCAGAGGGAACACCATGTAGAATTATATATATGCTAAAATTCATCTCCCAGAAAATGCAAGTGCGCATACTATAGATATGCAAAGATTGTTCCAAGAAATTTCTTCTTACAAGTTACTCCCTCCGTTCCTAAATATAAAACTTTCTAGAGATTCCAATGCAGACTACATACGGAGCAAAATGAGTGAATTTTGCACTCTAAAATATGTCTATATACATCCTTATGTAGTCCTTACTGAAATCTCTACAAAGACTTATATTTAGGAACGAAGGGAGTACAACTTACACGGAACATATGCATGAAGACAGAAACAAAAAACACAGAATTTTTCTTACAACTAACGGGTTTGCAACAGGCACAGCAAGAGTTCAAAGACAGACGATCGGTTACCTAGCTAATTCGGTACGCTAGAATTTTGCACTGCCAATCTGCATTCCGATCAAGTTGCTTCACATTAGCACACTTCATGGTGGAAACAATATTACCACTAGCACATTTTGGAGGACAGTAAGGAGTATCAGCCTGGCATGCCCTGGTAAGCCTGGTAATGCTAGTGCAGCAGATAATTAAGAAAACTATAATTGTGCAAGGAATAAATTCACCACCAGCTTATTATGCTTACCTTCAAACATCCTATAGAATGACTGCAAAAGCTCGGAAAACCAACAAAACCGCCAGCCGTTATGAGTTCCTCTGATGGCCCAAGTTCATGATTATTAACAGTCTGGAAGTCAATTTCATCTTAGCTTTCTCTCCAACTGAAATCTAGCACTCAGCATCCACATTTATGTTCATGAACCTAGCGTCACCTACTACCACAAAACTAATTACCTGGAAATCAAAATTTCCGCAGTTTTTAAACAAAAATGAAATCAAAGGTTTATCTGGTTAAAATATCATGCTGAACGTTCAGGTAATGTTTAGTCTGAAAATGGATACACAGGGGCAAAACTATAACAGATAAACAGTAAAGGTACTGAAAACTCAGAAAATCAAATAATTTAGAGACTAGATAAGCAAGTGTAGGTTCATACATATGAAGAGGCAACGAGTAGTTCAGTACATCTTGCAAGACCAACCCATCTCCTCCAAAAGAACTTACACAGGTGGCTAGTCATCCAGAAGTTAACCCAACATCAGCATAACTCAAGATAAGAAACTAGTTCATTTCAGGTAAACCTTTGATGAATCGACATGTCAACTAAACTGACTATTTTTGAGGCATAACTCAAGATTAGCATATTAAATTTTGCGAGACTTGGTAGCCCTCTCAAAGACATCAAACATGAGAGCATGACAAGATCGTTTGAGGTGTGCATACCCCTGGCTTGCTACCACATCATCCATTCTGTTTGAAGAGAGAATGAATTCAACACAGGCATCTTTCAGCTTGCTGCAGTGATGCTGATCAGCTAGCGCCAATGTCGTCGCCACGGTCTCAACGTCAAGGCTCTTGCAGAGAATACCTTCACATATCATCTTCATCCTGTCCATGGCATACCTGTCGGCAGCCACCAGCAAGTGTTTAACCATCTCTTGGTTCTCACCATCATCAAGGTCATCCATAGCCGGCAGCGAATCCGTGTAGATGAAGTGAAGCAAGGCCCTGAAAACAGGGGGTTCCATGTCCTCGATGATTATGTTCCTACTTGTGGCATTGGCATCGCTCATGGGTCCATAGAGCTGAGCATCGAAGACCGGCGATCGCGTGGCGAGCATAATCTTGTGTGCAGGGAAAACCTTGCCTTTAACCTCAAAAGTCACATCTGCTCCTCTCTTTCCATCCAGCAACTTTCTGAGGTGGTTCGGCAGATCCAAGGGCGGCACCTCGATATGTGTGGCGGCCAGCACGGACTCCTCCTGCACCTGCGGGCACCTGATAACCTTGACCTCACACTCAATCACCACGGTGTCGTCCCGCAGGTACGGCACCGATTCGAGCGAACTCTGTTTGATGAACATGTCAGCTCCATAGCAAGCATCGACGGAGGTGTAGTTGTGAGCGAAGCGGCGGATGAACGGCGACCATGGCTGCGCGCCGCCGCCGCCCGAGTCGATTAGACTGAATGTGTAGTTCGCCCTGACCTCGGCGTTCCTGGAGAGGAGCTCGAGGTAGACAGAGATGTGGCCATTGCACTCGGGGGATGAGTATCCATCGGGGTAGCAACGGACGCACCAGTCGTAGCCGCCGACGGCGAAGGTGGCGGACCGTATGTACTTGCCGACGCCCAAACCCTTGTGCAGATGGTAGCCGACGATCTTGAACACGTGCTTGCCCATCGCCGTGTCGGGGGTGCACGTAGACACGGTCGTTGGCAGCGATTGTTCCATTGCTCGAGCTTTGTACGGCGACGGCGGCGGCGGTGGGGTGGGTGTCGGCGGCGGCGCGGGTGGGGATATTTCCAGAGGGGATGGGGAATGCGAGGGCACAGAAGAGAAGCAAGCACAGGCTGAGGCCCATCAACTGGAGATCTCGGCCTACTTGCAAAAGCATCTCCACCAGTCCACCACATTTGGAACCCCTCAAATAAAAATTACTAGCCCACGTTTGGCTAACACTTTTGTCAAAGCCTGGAATTTATATACTCTCTTAGTTTTTACTTATTATCTTTTTTATTTACTATGTATATTTGTTAACTCAACTTTGTATAAAGTTTCATGGGGTTTATAGAATTTTTTTTGAACATTTCCAATAAATATATTCAAGTTTCAATTTGGTATGTCTATAATCTTGGTCACGGTTAACAACGTTTGATTTGAGGGAAAAAAAACTAATACGCAAAGCAAATGAAAATGGAGGAGTATGAGTTAAGAATGTAGGCCTAGGCATTTGGTAGAGGGGGACGATCAGTTCAATTCTTCAATCTAATAAGATATTCGGTTTAAAAAAAAGATGACCGATTGGTCTTCTAAAATTTGATCGTTCTGGATGAGAAGTAGGAGGGAGAGGGGGGATATGCCACAGCTCCAGTACCAGCTAGCCACCGGGATGAAGGAGTGATGGAGCATCGACTGGCTGGTTGTCGTATGCTTTGATCTTACGATGCCTCAAGTAGGAGGGAAGGTGAGGGAAACCTCCTAAAGGCGTAAATGGATGTGTCTAAGTTGAGTAGTGGGTTGTGGGACTAATGCATTGAGGTTGCGCGTTATTGGTTTTTCTCAGTTTCTTCGGTCCTTTTGGGCATCCAAGAGGGTAAAAATTAAACTACCCAATCTAATTTCATCTTTTTAGTTTTTTTGACCAAATTTAGTACTCCCTCCTATCCATATTGCTTGTCACATCTTTATTACATTGTACTAAAGATGCAACAGGTAATATGGATCGGAGGGAGTACCATTTTTTCTCGTTTCTATCAATTCGACTCTGGTGCCCGTTCTTACGGTTTTTGATACACACCCATTAACATACAAGGTTCTCTCCAATGCGATCTCGAGTTTTGGGTCAAGATTGGTATCGATCTTCACCATCTTGGTCGTCAATTCTTCTCGCATCATGACGTTATTTGTATCGATGTGGAAGTTATATAACAATAAATGATAGCTATTGGTAGTTTTCTACATAGGAGTAAGTAAGATTTATTGCTATACGAAGCAGCAGAGACATTGGTGGAGATGTATCTAGGCAAATAGAGGTCGACAGAGATTATTATTAGAAAATAAGTGTGCAAACAAGGAGTTGGAGATGCCCAAAAGCAAGTGCAAATGATTGCAGATCACCACACTTTATTTAGATCCTTTTTTATTCTGAGACGCACTTTATTTAGAAGTTTTTAGACTTACGACAGCCTCATTTATTACACGCCCACGCCCAGAACATGAAAACAACACGGTAAAGCACGTGTGCACCCCGGGGTTTATTTTACAACGAGTGGAGCTGGAGCTGGACTAGTTTTCGTTGTTCACCCAAACATCAATCTCCTTCTCGAACTTGTCCATTGCAGGTCCTGGCAATAGCATGGATACCGCGATCATGTCATGACCCTTTCCATTCTTGCACCTCATGTGGTAGCTCACAGACTTGCAGGCAATGTCCCCAACCATGGGTACGCCGCCGTCAACCCGCTTCGCCCATCCAAAGTCTAGCGCGTCCTGTCCAACCCACTTGATGTCAGAGACCTCATACATTCTGTCCATGGTGAGAGGTGGCCGCCCACGCATAGACGCCATGAAATCCACCATGGACTCCATGTTGTCGTCTGTCATGTCACGCTTGGCCTCGCGGACGAGTTTGAGCGCATAGCCAAGCGGGTTGAAGCATAGTTCCTCGGCGGTCGTGTCTACCGCAGGGTAGAAGAGCGCATTTCCGTAGAACCCACGTGGGACGAGCGCATGACGCTTCCACCTCCCACGCGCATTTAGAGAAAACATCAGGCGCACCCGCTGGTGGTGCTCGTAGCCGAGCGCCACTGTGCGGCAACGCCACATGACCGCAGTCAGAAGCTCGAAGCTGGTGACTGGCGGTGTAAGGTGCACCGGGGCATGCCTTCGTAGCGATGCCATGTCCCCTGGGCCAAAGAGGAAGAAGCGGCCGGCCATTTCCTCCGGCGGTGTTGACAACATGATGTCGTCGGCGGTGGTGCCTAATCGTTGGAGGAATTCCTCGTAGGCCGGGTTTATGTGTGGAGGGACGCGTGCTGTTAGGAGATCCCTATTCCACACCGGCGATACAATTTGGGAGGCGTCACCCTCGGTACATGCCAAGTCAGCGACACATTTCAGGAATTGGGTGCTGCCGTAGCCGTCCGCGATATTGTGGCATATGTGAAGACCAATCACAAATCCCCCGCATCTGAGTTGGGTTACCTACTAACATTTACCAAGAAATAGCAAACGTTAATTAATAATAATGTAAAGCGATGGCTTTAAAACAAGGGAAGCATAGTAACTTTTTTCTCCCCATCAAAATGCTAGCGTAGTCACACAATTCTCACGGTGAGCTCCTGTAAAAACATTACACATATAGCTTCCGCGCAATCTATTTATATCATTCATGTCTTAGGAATTGAGAAACAATAGGGGCAACGTGAACTCTACAGTTGAAGGCTACCTGCATGAAGAACAAGGGAACTCCGATGACAACCCTAGCGTCGCCCACGTCGCACAGCAGTTGTTCCACGAACGTGCATGCTGGCAGCGGCGGCTCGCCGAGCTCATCCAAGGACACAGCCGCCTCCGCCTCCACGAACACCACGCCTTCCCCGGTGCACTCCACGACTAGCCTGCCCCCGGGAGCCTCCCGGAGACGGCCTGCAAGCGGGTAGTAGTGCACCAGCGCCTCCGCCAGGGCAGCCCTGAAAACTGCCTTGGTAGGCCGTCCGTGGCCATCTACGATACGGAAGAACTCGACGGCGGGCTGCAGGTACCGCAGGTCTCTGTGGTCGTCAATGTCGGAGAGAGCCAGAGTCTCCCGCGGCGTTGCTCGTGCCGGAAGCACCAGCTCAGGTTTTCTTCGATCTGCCACCAAGGACATGTCGGCAAATAATGAGGGTGTAGTGTAATGGTCAGAAGCTGTATTGTCTTTAAGGGCATCTAGTGGTATTATATAGGGGGAGAATCAGTATTTCATCCGCTTTTTAAAATATAAGTGGAATATAAGGCGATTGATTCCTTTAAATGTCAAACATTCCTATGTTTAATTAAGTTTATAGAGAAAAATATCACCATCTAAAATATAAAATAAATATAATATTAAACGAAAAAGATAACGCCCACACGTGTGGGCATCTGACAACTCGCCCACACGCATGGATCCTCGTCCAACCTACTGCACGAATCTTGGCGCGTTCTAGCAGTTTTTGTGTGCCACGTAGGCAGGGGAGGGTGTATGGGAGTTAAGCAGTTTGCCCGGACGCTCGTTCCTCGCTCGGAGTGCTCGCGGTTGCGAGTGGGACGTGCGGCGGAACTGCCGTCGCGCCCGCACGCCGCGCATGACTCCTATTCACCATCTCCCACGTCTGCCCATTTTCCCCTCAGCGGTGCTGCAGTTTCTCCCCCACCCCCTTCATTTCTTCCCATCCCCCCCCCCCAGCAGCAGTTTCATTCGATAGGAGGAGCAGTCGAGAGGGGGAGGCGGCAGCGGCGGCGGCGGTAGAGTAGTGGGTATTCGCGGACGTCGCTGGTGTTCACCGGACCGGAGCGTCGTCGCCGGAGCAGCCACAACGAGTAGGTAAGGCTCTCGAAGCTTTCTGCTGGTCCAATCTCTCTCCCTTCCTCCCTGGTAACATCCTTCTCAAGCCCTTTCGAGATTCAGACGGATTTGAGGCGCTCTAGTGTCCCCTTCGGCGGCGGAGTCGCGTGTGTGCCATTTAGGCCGGCATTGCGTAGTTTCGTCGCCGTCGCGGTGGTAGCCAAGCCGGCGAGGCTCGCCCGTTCGGCAACTATCTCTCTGTTTATGAGAGATTAGATTTCTGCAATTCTATGTGATAGCGATTTCTAATGTGTTTTCGTTAGTTTTGATGGTCTCATAGGTTGCGATTATCACTGTTTTAGGGGCGATGTTGTAGTCGAACTCAGGGACTGAAAGTTGGGTTTGAACCCTAGATCTAGTTAGATGCATTTCGATGTGTAGGATAATGGCAGTCATGGCAATTTCAATGCACTTGTTTATCTACATCTATCCTAATAGATGGCAACTAATTTTCTGAATCAACCGTGTCAGTTGCCATGTCCTATGTAGGATAATGGCAGTTTGTGTGTTCCAATATACTTCCTTAGTTACCACTCTGTTTACTAGTAACATGGCATCTTGAATCTATTAGATGGCAACTCCTTTTTTGAAGCCAAGGTGTGAGTTGTCACATTTTTTGTTGTACAATGGCAGTGGGTGTTCCACTATACTGCCTTAGTTGCGGCTTTGTTTTCTGCTAACATGGCAACTTGAAATTTTGATGTGTGGGATAATGGCAGTCATGGCAATGTCAGTTTACTTGTTTATCTACATCTATCCTACTAAATGGCAACTAATTTTCTAAATCAACTATGTCAGTTGCCATGTCCAAAATGTAGGATAATGGCAGTTGGGTGCTCCACTACACTGCCTTAGTTGCCACTTTTTTTTTCTGCTTACATGGCAACTTGAATCTGCTAGATGGCATCTCCCTTTTTATGAAGCCAATGTGTCAGTTGCCACATTATATCTTGGATAATGGCAGTTGGCTGTTCCACTGTACTGCCTCAGTTGCCTAGCCCGCGTCTACTCGGGCAACATCGCATTCGGAATCATCAATCCGTTGTTGCAATCGCCTCTCCTTGATGTTATGATACCGACGCGCATCATACCGGACCAATGTCATCGACCACCGGGTCTACTCGGCGATGTGGTCATTAGTCAA